GGCAAGCAGGCAGACTCCACCCCGTATCTCGGCTGCTGCCACGGCGTGCTGCGGTCGCAGGGGGAGGGCGGCAGTGGGTTGCAGCCTCCTGCTCTGAACAAAGATGCTAACAAGCCCTTGTGTCTGTACTGATGGGCATGGGGGGGCGGGGGGGGGTGTGCAAGAGGGTTGTGTGTGTCAGACCTCCATGGGGAGCTGTGCCGTGTGTGCGCGTGACGTGCATGTGGTGGTAGACTGGGAATCGTGTCTGTCGGGCAGGGGTGGGGTGCATGTTGGCACGAGGGGTGCCAGGGGTGTATGGTGTGCCAGGAGCAGCGTGTGTGTGTGTGTGTGTGTGTGTGTGTGACATCTCAGTGGATCTCTGTGTGCACGTGTCACAGCCAGGGATGCTGTGTGTGTGGGTGCATGTGTGTCACATGTGGTGTCTGTGTGTGTGTCACTCGGGTGCTCTTTGTGTTGCACTTGGGGGTGCTGTGTGTGCTTCAGGTGCTGTGTGTATAACTTGGCGGTGCTGGGTATGTCACACGGTGCTGTGTGTGCACATCACACTCAGGGGTGCCGTGTGTGTGTGTGTGTGTGTGTCCAGGCTGTCTCCAGCGGGGGCTGCATGTGCAACCTTGTTGTGCCCTGGCTGTGCCCCTGCTCCCCCCCGCCCCGAGCGAGTGCCCCTTGCATGGACATCACCGGCTTTATTGACCATCGTCGGCCGCGACAAACAGCGCAAGCACCTGCACGAGGGGCCACCCACCCTGTCCACTGACCGTGGCACCCGCCAGGCCAAGTGGCCCCATAGCCCACGGTGCCACCATGTGTTGCTGCCTGGCAAGGCTCTCAGTGTGGCCTGGGACCGGGTGACCATGGTACAGCAGGCTGAGACATGGACGTGGCCCCGCGGTGCTGCCCAGGGGCCACGGCTGCCCCTGCTCCCATGTCCTCACAACCTCCACGAGGGCCACGTCTCTGCTGCCACGATGGGTCCAGGGTCAGCTGGGGGGTGTCCAGATGTGTAGGTGGGGGGTGGGGGGGAACACGTCCCAGCTGGAGCGGGTCCATCGCCTGCTTCGTCTCGGCCTCTTCATCCACACGTCTGTCCAGCCGCCATCTGTCTGTGCGTCCCCAGCAGCCCCCTCGCTGGGACGGGTCCCCCCCAAATCGTGCCCGTCCAGCCCAGGGGAGGCAGGCGGGTGGCCTCACCACACCGAGCACTTGTGCGCCGGGTTCATGGGCGAGTCCTTGGGGCAGTGAAAGACGCGGCCGAACTCCTCGAACTGCGAGACGCTGCCCAGGACCCTGCGGGGGGAACGGGGGTGGGTCAGGGGGCCAGAGCACGGCCTCGATGCAGCCACCTCTGGGGTGGGAAGCGGCAGCTGATGGCACCGGGCAGAGCAGGGCTGGGGGGGAGGCTGGCATCTGCCAGGCCACCCCAGGGCCACGCAGCCAGGTGGTGGCAGGGGCACGGGGCCGTACCTGTAGTGCTCGGGGGCGTGCTTGTCGGTCAGCACCTGCAGGTAGATGGACTGCGAGCGCCGCTTGATGCACCAGTTCTGCAGAGAGAAGCCGTGAGGGCTGGGGACAGAGCCTGGGTCGGGCCGGGGGGAAGTGGGACCCAGCCCACGCTGGCTGGACCCAGCCCGTTCCCCACTGCCACCGTGCCGTAGGACGCCAGGCCGTTTGCAGCCATGGGCAGACTGTGTTCGGGGGCACAGCGGGAGGTCCCTGGCGAGTGTGAGCGATCGTAGGGTCTCCAGTGACCGTGGGCTGCAGCCAGAGCACAGGGTAGCTGAGGGATGGCCCCCCTCGCACCCATGGCCTTGGCAGCATCTCCTGCCCCCCTCCTCATGGCTTTGCATATGTTAACCCAATGCCCGGCCCTGGCTGGCACTGCCACAGATGCCAGCACCCTGTGGGCCAGATCCGGCCGGGCCCCTCCGAGCACGACGGGGGCAATGCAAGGCTGGGGGGCTGCAGCCCTGAGGGGTGTGCGGGAAGCGTCGCTGCCCCTGGCTGGCGGGCGGTACCTGGGCGAAGGCGATGAAGAAGAGCTGGTCGTGGGTGTACTTCAGGCGGTGCAGGGGGTGCTCGGGCCCGTGCTCCCGCACCCACTTCTGATAGGCCTGCAACACAGGGGCACCCTCAGGGTGGGGGCCAGGCCCACCCCGGACCCCCCAGCCCAGGCTTGGCACCCAGGACCTCTCAGTCTTGCAGCCCCAGGGCGGGGGGCGGTGGGTCAGGTCTGGGGGGACTCCCTGCAGCCTGGTCAGGGTGGGCAGTGCCCGGCAGCTCTGGTGTCTGGACCCTGCGGGGCGGGGGAACGGTCACTCACGTAGTAGGCCAGCTTGAGCCCCCCCATGTCGGCGATGTTCTCCCCCAGCGTGTGCTTCCCGTTCACCTGCGGAGAGAGCAGCGGGGCCCAGAGACCCCGGCGTGGAGGTCACAGCCAGCGCCTGGGGTCCCTCCCTCCACCCACGCCCTGAAGCTGCGTGGCCGGTGGCGCCGGGAGCAGCTACCAGGCTGCCCAGGGTTGGGCCAGTGCCAGGGTTTTACGTCCACTCTTTATGGCACTGGCGATAAAAATTAAACAGTCCCTTAAATCACTGCAGAGACGTGGCACAGAGCCAGGGGGCCCTGCTGGCTGGAGCAGCCCCGTGCCAAGGGGCACAGCGCCCTCAGAGACGGGCTCAGGCTCCTCCCTGCCCACAGGTGTGATAAGATGCTGGGACTCGGAGCACTTGCCCAGCCCAGGGATTGGGAGGAGCAGGCTGAGCCCCGTGCCCGGGGACACCCCGCAGCAGGCGGGCGCGGGCAGGCTCACCCGCTGGTTGTAGACGGTGAAGTTGTCGTACAGGTCCACGATGCACTGGGCCTTCTTCAGGAACTTGCTGTACGAGGCCTCGGTCCACCAGTGCACCAGATTCCCGTGGCGATCGTACTGGCCTCCTGCAAACACCGGGCAGGCACGTGTGGGCACCTGCCCGCTCTGGAGCGAACCCAAGTCCGGGCACCCTCCGTGCAGCCTCTCCGCACCCTGGCCAGGCTGCCCAGGGCTCATTCCCTTGCCGAGCTGGGGCTGGGCATGCTCAGCCCCTCGACCCCCTGGGCCGTGGCTAAAGCTGTGGGCTGGAGGCGGGGGGCTCACCCCAGTCGTCGTAGCCGTGAGTCAGTTCATGCCCGATGATGGTGCCGATGCCGCCGTAGTTCAGGGACCTGTTGGCCGGCGAGGCAAAGGAGACATCAGCAGGGGGTGGAGTGGGGGCGATGCCCGGCCTGGACATGGCACCAGCAGCTGGGAGACGCAGCTCCATGGCCTGCCCAGCCCAGCCGGGTCCAGGCAGTCCCTTGGTCCTGGCCCCGTACTCACTGCGGGAACTCGGGGTCGTATAGCGTGGGCTGCAGGATCCCGGCCGGGAACACTGCGGGGAGAGGGCGCGTTAGGGCTCCTGCCATGGGCCGGGCTCCTGCCCTGCACCCAGCCGCACCCCCCAACTCCTCTGACACCCCCTGGTTCCGCTTTGCAGCCCCAGGCCCCAGTCCAGTGCCCCACCCCGACCCCCAGCTCCCTGCCAGCCAGCCCCGAGCGCCCTGCTCTGACTGCGTCCGACACAGCCGGTGCCCCGACTTACCCATCTGGTTCTTGTTGGGCAGGTAGTAGGCGTTCAGCGCCTGGGGAGGCAGCAGCCACCTGCGAGGAGACGGTAGAGCTGCTGACACAGGTGCCCCCTGGGCACCTGGAGCAGGACCCCCGGGAAATGCCTCCCTGGCAGCAGAAGTGAGGCTGCTTTGTGGAGCGCAGGAGGGCACAGGGGCTGTTCCCAAGGGCGAGCTCACAGGCTGCCTGGCGTATAGGGCACAGGGGCCATGCAGGCCATGCCGTGGTCTCTGCTGTGCCAGCACTGCAGAGTCAGGCCCTGGACCCAGGTACCCTCTCCTGCCCTCAGCTCAGGCCCTGGCACCATCAGGCTGTGGGCTTGCCTGCTTGTGCCCACACTGGCCACGGAGGTTGCCTTGCCCTGGGGAAGAGTTGGCCGAGGCGAGGTCCCGTGGGGCGCAGGGACCAGGGTGGTGCTGTGCTGCAGGCTCCTGCTGCACCCATGCCAGGGGAACAGCCAGCGGGTGTTGGTGGGCAACACCCCCAGATCCAATGTCCCCCACTCCCCCTGCCCGTGCCAGTCCTGGGGCACCTACGCAGACTTGTCGACCTCCTGCCGGATCTTCTTCACCGAGACCTTGATGCTGAACCTGATGCTGTTGAGGATGTTCCTGAAGTACGTCTTCTCATCCACCTCGAACTGCGGTGGACACACGGATCAGCGGGGGCTGGCGCAGGGCAGAGCTGGGGGAAGACCCTCGGCTCGGAGCTGGCCCCCGCTCTCCTCCCAAGACAGCTCCCATCCCTCGACAGTGTCGAGTGCGGCTGTAGGGCCAGGCTGGGCATGGAGCAGGGCTGAGCCTCCTGACGCCCCGGCTGCATGCCCCATCCTTCAACCCCAGCCCCAGCAGGATGGCAGGGAGGAAGGCAGCAGCTTGGGGGACCCCACAGGCTCCCCTGTGGGGGGCCAGTATGAGGGTGACTCTGCTCCCAGATGCCGCCCTGCAGCCGTGCTCTGGCAGTGAAGGCAAGGGGACCCCTGCCCGTGCACGGCGCTGCACACTCGCCTCGTACTCGCTGTCGATGGAGTCTGGCTGTAGCAAGAAGTCTGGGTACCCGATCATCACCATCATGTACTGGAGCTGCCAGGGGAGCCGGTGCCTGCATCAGAGCTGCCCTCTCACGCCCGGGGGCACGATGCTGCAAGTGCCCACTCCCCCCGCGCGGCCAGTGGTCTCGGTCCACATAGCCACGGCCCGTGGGCTGGAGGCTGCAGCTGCTGCATGGCAGCCTTGCACTGCTGGGCCCCAGCACCATGGGGTGGCTGTGACTGGCAAGGCAGGTGGACAGGTGGCACCATACCTTGTCCCTGGCCGCGTGCCGGGTCTCGTCATCCATCCAGTCCAGCTCGTCCAGCCGCTGGTCCAGGATGTGCTTGATGTCCTCCACCAGCTGCTGCACCTGCAGGCGCCAGCACTGGGGTCACCGGAGCGCCGGGTTGGGGCAAGGGGGCGCCTGGGGCCTTGCTGCGGCTCTTGGCCCCATGGTGGGACCTGTGGTGCAGGCAGCGGGGCTGGCGGGCCCTACCTTGGCCTTGCTGGCGGAGGAGAAGTGCTCACGGACGAAGAGGGCGCCCAGGGCCATGCCGAAGTGCTTGTTGGCCTGACTGAGGCAGACCCTGGCCAGCTCCAGCGGCTTCTCGGTGCCCTCCATCTCACGGGACAGCTCGTGGATGGCCTCGCGGAAGGGCGTTGACAGGTGCTCGCTCAGCACCACCGTGATGCGCCACAGCATGTAGTTGTGCAGGATCCTGCGGCCGGCGGGTAATGAGGGTGCGGCGCCAGCAAGGGGAGGCCGGGATGCAGGCCCGTTGGTGGGGGGGCCCTGTGCTCCACCCTGCCTGCAGGCACGTGGGAAAGGGCCTGCCCCAACGTGGGCCTGGGGCTGGGGCCTGACTGAACTGCCCACGTGTGGGACCTCGTCAGCCCGGGGCTGCGATGCCATTTGTTAGCTTGAACTGTGTCTCCTGCCACAGTGCAGAGCAGGGGATGGGGCGGGGGGCTCCCTGCAGGTGGGGGCCCCGGTGTGCGGCTGGGGGCACGTCCAGGAGTAGGCATCACTCTCTGGCCAGGTGTGTGCGTGCACGCTGCTCGGTGTGTGTGCACATCTGCCACTGTGCGTGCATCTGCTGCTGTGTGTGTGCAACTGCCTACAAGTGTGTTTGTCTGGTGTTCTGTGTGCGCCCACATCTGCCTCTGTGTGTGTGTGTGTGTGTGTGTGTGTGTCTTCCACTGTGTGCGCAGGCCTGTGCATCTCCCAAGATGTGGACGAGCATGCATGCATGCATGCGAGTGTACAGGTGTGAGAGGGAGTCTGACTCTGGGTGTGCAGGCATGTCTTCTTGTGTGTGTGTGTGTGTGTGTGTGTGTGTGTGTGTGTGTGTGAGACAGTGTGTGCAGGCGTGTGCCCTCAGGAAGATGCATATCCCCATGTGTTTGGGGGGGGGAGGGGGTCATCTCTCCACACCCCTGCAGGTGCTCAGGGCAGGGGGCCGTGGGCACAGCTCTCCGTGTGGCCGGGCGCTATGGTAGGTGGCCAAAGCAGGCATCAGCCAGCAGAAGAGACCAGCTGTGCAGTGGTGCCCAGCTTGGGGGGGGCACCCACGGAGGGCAGGGGGGCTCTAGGGAGTTGAGGAGGATGAGCCTCCACCTGCATCTCACCCCGGAGTCACTCCAGGGGTCTCTACCCCCCTGTGGCGCTGTGACATGGGGTGCTCTGGGGCAGAGCCAGCCACGTGCAGCCCTGGCCCAAGCTGGAGCCCCTGTAGCAGGACCCAGAGCTCCGGGGGCTGCTGGGGACCCATCCCTCCCTCCTGCCACCCGTACACCTGCACTGCGGGCTTGGCCGGGGCATCCCAGCCATGCCCAGGGAGCCGGCGTGCGAGGCCCCCGTGTGAGGCGCTGGCGGTACCTGCTGGGCGTGCTGCGGATGAGCTCTGACACCTTCTGCATGTAGTCGGTGGCCAGCAGCACGACCTCCTCGTCCTCCGAGAAGTCCTCGTGGAAGATGCGGTCCAGCAGGTGCTTCCACCTCAGCTGCAGGGGGGCCGGGGGCAGCTCTGTCACCACATGGGCCTCGGCTTCCCCCACCCACGCTCTGCCCCCAGCCCACACCTGGCAGGCACCGATCCAGCCCCCTTCCCACACGGCGCTCTGCCTCAACGGGCCCCAGTCCCCTGGCAGGCGGGAGCGGACCCCTGCATCTCTGGAGTGGGCTGCAGGCCAGCCCCCGCCCCAGGCAGGGTTCGTGCTAGGAGCCGCTGTGGGGTGGCTACAAGTGGCGTGTAGCCCTGGATCCGTGGCCTGTGCATATCTGGGCATGTGGGCCTGGGAAGAGCACAGAGCCTGGGGGCTCTGACTGCATGCGTGCACGCGCAGGCGGGGGCGCGGTACTCACGGTGGGGGTGATGCGCTGCAGCTCGCCCAGCGTCACCTTGTTGTACATGCTGCTGACGTCCCGCCGCATGTCGTCGTACTCCGAGACCGTGATCTGCGTCGCACACGGCAGTCACTCGGGGCAGGGGCTGCCTCTGGCCCACCCCCAGGTCCCCCAGCTGCAGGGGGATGGGGGTGCCGCCCCAGCCCCTCTTCTCCTCTGACTGCCCCCCGGGGGTGGAAGAGCTGCTGTAGGGCAAGCACCGCTCCCCACAGCCCCCAGCTGTGGGCCACGCCCTGAGTGTGGCACTCCTTGGTGAGTGGGGGGTCCCAAGACGCCAGCCCTGGGGCAGGTGCAGGGAGTTGCACCCGGGGCTGCTGGCGCCTGTGCTACACTAGGGCACCCCCTGCTCCCCACACGCCAGGAGGGGGCAGGTGAGCCGTCCCCCCTGGCCGGGGGCACTCACGTTGGCCAGCCGCTGCTCCAGCTGCAGGATCTCGGCCGCCTTCTGCGGCACGGCCTCGGCACCCAGCAGCCCCAGCAGGCGCTCCATGAAGATGCGGTACGCCGCCAGGATCTGCCAGACACGGGGCGGGGGTCAGCCACATGGGGTCACGCAGCCTCTTCTCTTCCCTCCATCACTCCCTCTGCCCCAGTCAGGGTCTCGGCTGGCCCCTCTGCCCTGGCGTGGGTTTGGGGCCACCCCCGGTGTGGTCACGGCCCCAGAGCCGGCAGAGGAAGCTGCCCGGGTGCTGCCCCAGCACCCCTGCCCTGCTCACCTTCTCGCTCTCCTCATCCTGGCCCAGGTAGAGGGTCCGTTCTGGCAGCGTCAGCCCATCCTGGTCAATCTGCAATGCAGGAGCGGAGACCAACAGCCTCACTGCCTGGTGCCCTCCCCGCTGCCACCGTGGTGTGGCACTGGGGGGAGGTATAAGCTTGGCAGATAATTGGCTTCCCTCATTAGGGGCCCTGGGGCCCTTGTGTCAGCCAGGCAGGTCCTGGGCCATTGGGAGCTGCATTACGTGATGCCGCTCTGTTCATCCTCCCCAGAGCTGGCCGCATCACTGAGGGTGCCGAGCTCCTTCCGCAGGGAGATGCGACGTGACGGGGGCACAATGCGCTGGCCCGAGGCTCTCGCCTGCCACCTGGCTCTGTGGTGGCAGCGGCCACACAAGGTCTCACGGGTAAGTCTTGCTGCTGGAGGGGGGCACGTGGGGACCCAGGAGTCCTGGCCTCGGAGTCCGGCTCTGCCACTGCCCTGCTCCGTGCCTCAGTTTCCCCACTGCCGGGGCTGTGTAGCCCCCCTGCACTGCCTAGGTGGGGGTGTCCAGCAAGGCCCAGCTGGAGCCGGGCCGCTGAGGTCGGGCAGACCCTGCCAGCCAGCGGCACGCCCGCCTGCTCCCCGCACACGCGTGCTCGCGCATGCACACGCACCCCCCTCGCAGTGCCCGCCTGGCAAATCGGCTGACATGCTGCTTTGCTAAACGCTGCAATTACACGGAGGGAAATTGCCTTCCCCCGTCCTCCCCCCACCCCTCAGCCGCATCTATTCAGAGAGGAGAGCCGCCTTGCTGGCGATGCGGGACCCGTAGCGCTGTGCAGACGCAGGCCCCTCACTGTGCCCCACCCTTCCCTCCCGGCAAAATGGGGCTCAGGGCCCGTGTCACCGGGTGACTCTGGCCCCTGGGAAGAGCCGACGGGACCTGGGGCCTTGGAGCAGGCACCTTGGGGAGCCTGGCACCCCCACCAGCCTTGCCCTGGGCTTCCCATCCCTGCCAGTGCCCCTCACTCCCAACCCACAGCCCCTCAGCTTCCCCGCAGCTCTGCCCAGACGTCCGTGCTGCCGTCCTGCTGTTCCCCAGACGAGGGCAGAGCTGAGCCAGGCTTTCTCCTCCTCCCTGAGCCAGCCCGCAGGCTATGTGGAGCCTGGTGGCAGGACCCCGGGCCAGAGGAGGGTTAATCTGGTTGGGAAGGGCAGGGATTCCTGAGGAAATGCTCCTGGGGGGGTACTCTGGGCCTTGTTAGCTGCAGCTGTGTAATGGGCCCATCCCTGTCCCCTCGGGGCTGTGTCCTGCTGGGGGTCAGAGCTGGGGCTGCGGTCTGCCCCTGGAGCCCAGAGCAGGGCTGGGACAGGCGTGCTGGAGCCAGGAGGGGTGGGCGGGCAGCGTGCATCTGCGTGCGTCGCTCCCCGCTTGACGGAGGGGTTGTGCATGTATGTGTGTCATAGGCTCTATACTGAGAGCTGCTGACGGAGAATCTCCCATGGCAAGGGGAGAGCTGGGGGAGCTGAGGGGGTAGGGTCTGCGTGCTGTGCCTGGAGGCAGTGTCTGGGGTCCCCCTGCACAGCTGCCCGGAGGCTCAGCCCCGCTGCAGGCGCCTGCCAGGAGACACGAGACGGCCACGGCGCCTCCAGGGAGCCTGGGTCTGGCTTGCGCCGTTGTCCCACAGGAAAACCCGTGCTCTTGCGCGTCTCGCACCAGCCTGTTTTGTCCGTGCTCTGGGCTTGCTCTGAGCCAAGCTGAGCCCCACAAGTGCTGGCCATGGAGCATAGCACACCCCGCTGTGCTCGGGCACAATGCCCTTGCGTGCAGCCTCCGTCGCGGGCAGCAGGTATCACTGGCACAGGGCTTTGTGGCAGGGGGCATGGCGTGAGCCCCTCCCGGCTGAGCTGCCAGCCCTGGCTCTGGGGGCAGAGTACCTCCCTCAGGTCACCCACCCCATGGCAGGTCTTGACTGGACCCCCCCGCACACGTCTCTCCCAACAGGGCACGGAGCATGCCAGGCGCCCCGCAACCCTCCCTGGTGCCCACGGCCGGACTGACCCGAATGATGTAGCGGGAGGAGTTCTTGTCGTCCAGGCTGACGGTGAGGGAGAAGAGCACGGCCGTGCTATAGACCCCCTGGGTCTTGTAGAGCAGCTCGTTGAAGTCCCAGCGGCCTGGGCTGCTGCCCGCCATGCCACAGCCCCCGCAGTCCTCCAGGACCTCCAGCATGGGCTGGGGCCCCAGGCGGTCGATCTCGGCCATGTCGAGGCAGGAGCGGAAGAAGGCCTTGACCTTGCGCTCGGCCGAGGCCCGGGCGGGCCGGCGGACGGGCTGGAGCAGCAGGCGCCGCAGCTTCTCCTCGTTCTGCTCCCCGATGGCGGCAATGATGCCGTAGATGAGCTTGTCCTCGGGGATGCCATAGCGCCGCAGCCACCCGCCGCAGGCGAAGGAGTAGAAGTCCTTGCAGGGGTCGATGGTGGGGTCCACGTTGCCGGCGATGAAGCGCGAGGCCTTGAGGAAGGCCCTCTTCTCCTGGCAGTCCTCCAGGCAGTAGCCGTCCCGCTCGGCCGCCAGGTACTTGAGGGCCAGCATGCAGACCAGGATGACGCACAGCCCCGCCGCGAACACCAGGCCCGAGAGCAGGCACACCTCCCGGCGGCTCCAACGCCGCCGCCCCCGGCCCGGGCTTCTCGGGGAGCGCG